CGGATGTGGTTTTACCATTGTGTCCCACTGCAGTGTTTATTCACAGAAACTTATACCAACACCGTTTTTGGGTCGATGTCTTGCATAAAAGTGGCATTACAAAAATATTATGCTTCTTACCACCTAGAAAGCATACCAGTTCACCCAAGCCCACCAAACACCAGACACGAATATATAAATAGTCATTTCCATTCCAGAATACTTGGGGATGGTTCAAATTCAAGTCTTATGAGACCACAGATTTGTGTCTGTATAAAACATATATATATATATACATATATTTATATTTATTTAAATAGAAATATTTAGTATTACCCATCTAGTTCTTGGGGTACTCAATTTTGACTTATACCCATTTTTTCATCAACTTCCCGAATACAATTTTCCTCACTGTTGGCAATGGAGAAGAACATTGCGAAGATCATATCCGACACCGTGTCGGAGCTGTTCGACATGCTGGGGCAAGGAGAGGCCAGGGTATATATATAACTCCAGTTGCACAATTTAAGGGGCACACCTATAAACCCAAAATATTTTCCCCATTCAGGAATGTAACCCCTATTATGCATCAACGAACAGATTCGAACTCGGGGTTTAGCTGCACACTTTAAGCGGTATACCTAACCCCCAATAGCTTCCCCATTCAGGAATGTAACCCCTTTAGGTATCAATGAACAGAATCGAATCCGGGGTATATAGCTGCACACTTTAAGGGGTATACCTAACCCCAATAGTTTCCCCATTCAGGAATGTAACCCCTATTATGTATCAACGAACAGATTCGAATTCGGGGTTTAGCTGCACACTTTAAGGGGTATATACCTATAACCCCAATAGTTTCCGCATTTAGGAATGTAACGCCTGCAGGTATCAATGAACAGATCGAATCTGGGGCATATATAACTCAACAATTTAAGGGGTAGACCTAAACCAATAATTTTCCCATTCGGGAATGTAACCCTTGCAGGTATCAATGAAAAGAATCAGATCCATTGTGAGCCTGGAACTCACTCCCGTCAGCCAACCCATTGCCAGTCGCCGTGTTCTTAAAGACGTTTGCTGCCAAGGCCGCTTTGATGAAATGCCACACAGCCTGGTGCCGCAGTTTGCCAGCAAATGTGTGATCCCAAATGCGACAACAATAGTGCATTTTGCAAATGGGCAAATCACTGCTTCCAATAAGCTGAGGAAAAACATTTTGGCATTGTCAGCTGCCATCAAATCGAAATCATCCAGCAGAGGATGTGGGCCGGTGCTCTGGAAATGGGCCTTACAGCAACCATGGCGATTCTAGGTTCTTGTTGGAACGTAAGGGCACGAAATTCAAGTTTGCAAGGATTGTTTCTACTCTGTCAGGTTTGGCATTCTGGGGCCCCATAAAAACGCAATTGCAACTTGTGGCTAGCCCAGGATCACTACTTCCACGCCCGTTTGAGAACCTGAGCTGGATTGTTAGAGCATTTCACTGAGTTCAAGCAGTGTTGGTATTCTTAGATTTCAGTGGCCAAGGATTCCTTTGCACGTTGACCCCTGGCCACAACAAATAACATTTTATATTTTTGTATTCACCCTTGATCCGGGCCTCATAATATTTGGGGTCAATGTAGGCTCGGTTGTGTAACGCCAATGACTTGAACTGTAAGGCTTGGGAAGATTCCCACGGCAAGGTGGAAAAGGAGATGAAACAGGTGATCTTCCTTCCCCATGAGATTCTTGGGTCTATGGTTGGAGCTGGAAGACTTGATTTGGTAGCTGGAACTTCAGACGCCTGACTATCAAACACCCAGATCCAATGTTTAGTTCCAATTGTTGAAATCAAAAATGAATGTTTTGTGAAAACCATGTTTGATCCGGGCTTCAAACCAAACCAAATTTGCGACACGGAACCATACATGTATCATAGCCCAGGCGCTCTCCATGTTCTGGAAAGACCTGGAGCATACGACTTGGTTCAAGAACCATCCTGTTCTGGCAGAAACTTGGCTTGAAATCTGAAAGTCAAAAATCATACCGTGCCCGAGCGAAGTTGAACTACTTCATGTGATCCATCACGCTCTCAGGCAGAATCAACCAATTTGGACTATGTCATCCCAGTTCGTTTCTACGGGGACGGATGTGAAGCTACACGTGATTTGCCTGAATTGCCTCGAAAATTTGAACTTGTTGATGATTTGTTCCTTATTTTGACACTTTTGTTTGTTCTCAAAGATCATGTACTACCTAAGGAAAACAGAAGTTCGAAATGCTCACCTTGATCTTTCCTGCCTCAGAGAAGAGCGCCACGCTTGACACACGGGTTCTGCAGCTTGGCTTTCCAGCACCATGCAATGGCCAGCACTCAAAACGAGACGGGTTCATCAAACAGGTTTTAGGTCTGCAGCCAAAGTAGAAATAGATGGATATTTTTGGTACCTAATCAGATTGTTTGTCAGTCACATCAGCCAAAATTGAAATAGAATATGTATATGATATGTTAAGCCCACGGTAAGATCTTTTTAATTCAGTTGCTGCATTGGATCTCTCCAGATTTGATTCGGCTTATCTGGTTTGTATTCCCATCCACTATATATAATAAACCCCAGAAAGCTTAGCTATCGGAGTTGTAAACCAACTTAGGTAGCTAAAGTGCACAACCCTGCACCAAGCTCCGCATTCATCTTAGGATCACAGTGATGAATGCCACCTACGCTCATGGAGGGGCCAGGGATCTAATTCTGGAGTATGTTACCTGGAGCTTGAATTGTTTAAGCTTCTTGGTGGCACCTGCACATTCAAACACGACCAACAGATGAACCCGAATGCAGATCACGTAAAGGATTCGACTGTAAGGAAAGTGTTGCTGATAAAGCCAGAACATCATCAGCCAAGAAAGTCTGTCGTCACACTTGTTTTCAAAAAGCAAAATCCCCAACCAATGCTATGACATCAGCAGCCCTGCCAAGGTGAAGGAGTTTACCCTGATGTTGACCCTTTTGGGCGCCCGTTTGATCGGAACTACGAACCAGGTCGTGCTGCTTTGGCAGGAACCAGAATTATGGGACCATACGTTGCAGTATTAGAGGGTGTTCAGGCAGATCAGGATTTCTGCCGTGTAGCATTCCACCTACAGAACTACTACAGCAGAAAACAATGTTGTCACTATTGCGGGGTGATTCAATGGACTTCAAGATACCCAGCACCGGGAGAGCCGAACGATCCCTCTGATCTCTACACCAACTTCAGTGAAGACCAGAACCGAGGGAACCCAAGCTGTAAAATCGATAACTATGCTTTTCATGTTTCAAAGCCTTGTTTTTATCTTGGTTTGCAATGGACAATTCAATATCTTTCCTATTCTTTACATCCCAGGATAGTGGATCTGGCTACATTTGTTGCTATCAACGGCCCTTCACCACTGTGCAATGTGGTTGGATTTTCCCCTGACAGTGACTTGATCCAAGAACTCAGCGGTTTTTATGGCACCTTTCACTGATCCCACCCAAAAATCACATTGATGTTGGGGCCCAAACACTTCAATCCAAACCGTGCCATTGGCCTCCCATCCTGTATAAGGAATCCTTCCGGACGTGATGCATATCCTACATTTGAGCTTATACCCAGATGTGTTCTGCTGCATTTTGCTGGACCTTACGGACAACCAGCAAATCATCCAGGGGGCATCTAGAGACACACGGCTCCACACGCTGTGGTCTTCGTACAGGGACTGGTGTGAAGTGGAAGGACTTGGGCAAATAAATTGGTTTAATTATATTGGTTTCATCGGTCCCCCAAAAGGGATGAAGCATTTGGGGTAAAACAAAAATTTTGTTTTAGGTCTTGACTTCATGTTTTTGGGACTTCAACGACCCTGTGAGCCAGGAATCCAAGACAGGGCTTCGAAAAAATTGTTTACCAATGAGACGTTGAACGTTGGTGGGGGCAAATATCCAGAACCATCACAAAAACTGGTGTCAGCCACTGCCAGCCGGTACATGATTCTGTGGATAGCTTCGGTGATGCAAGTCTTGTTATCCCAATGGGGCGACTCTGCTTCGGAACACATGCGGTACCCTGGTTTTGGAGAAATCACGCTTTTAAGATTGTTTTTTTGAACCCTCTAGTGAGCCCTGCTTTTTGGAGCGTTACCCTTTGATCACATCCAACACGGGCCCCGCATATAAGGTATCAGGCAGCAATTTGCTGCGCGCTTGCGTGCATGGAAAACACCATGAACTTCGAAGGGCGCGTCATGTCTGATGCGGGGTGCAATGCTTTCAAAAAAGCATACGTTGTATATCGGTGTGCGCTGAATTGGCTTGCGCAAGCAAGTTTAGAGGCATGCAAATGCAGGTACAGGTTGAGGCCAAAGGTCCACCAACCTGCTCACATAGTGCATTCTTATCTACCTCTGAACCCCAGAAAATATTCAAATTATTTGGATGAAGATTTCATATTTAAAACCAAGAAGGTAGCAGAGAAAGCACACCCTTTATATATGCCAACACACGTGATGATGAGATACTCAATCCACGCGTGTTTGCGCTGGTGGGATGGACCCTTCTAAGAAGGTCGGTGCAACAAAGGACGCTGCCAATCCGGGGCTGGAAGTTGCAATTGTGGGAAGGGGTGCGGAGGGTTTAAAGCATCTCAAGACTGTTCATGTTGCATTTTTGATTTTTGCAAGCGCGGGTCTCTAGATTTTATGGCTCAAGGAGGAACTTTTACATGCCTCGCTGAAAATTCAATCCATCCACGGATGTATAAATTCACTTTGGCGCATCCAGCCTCTAGTTTCACACGTGTATTTTCCGTGTCAAAACGTGCCGGGTCCTAACGGTACTCAAGTGAACAACGGTACTCATATATGCGTATGGTCAGCCCGTCTTGGGATGACAATGGCTGAGAACTTGCCCTCTTCGGTGGAGGGGGTCTCAATGGCTCCTTACCACTTTTATTGGGGGATCTACCTCTTAGGTTAACAGGTGATGAGCTATGCTGAACTGGTTCAGAGGGTGTAGATGTTAGATTTCTTGGGGATCTAGACCTGTCAACGGCACCTGTCGCGCGGGATTCCGCAGCGACCCCACAGGCAGCAGACTTTGGGGATTCTGCCGCAGCGCCCTCTTGTTTTCTCCACGGATGCACAATGCCCTGTGGGAACTTTGGTGAGGACTCTGAGGTGTCTTTTGGCGACGATGCTGCTGATTTTGGGTCTTTATAATCCCTAGAGGTTATTTTGATAGTTACCTTTTGCCTCTTTGGGGGTGGCACTTTAGGTGGTCGCGATTCAAAAGTTACTGGGTCGGCTTCAATGGGCTCAGCACTAGCCGCTGCAATGAAATTCCTACCAGTCTCTTGAAATCTTTGTGATGCCAGTGCAGGGTCTTCTGTGCCTTCCTCCTCGGTGTCAGGATCACGTGTGGTCAAATTTACAATGTCCGAAGACTGCAAGTTTGGGGTGACCAACACGACCCGACGAGAGCTCAAGGATGGATTCTGCCAGGCGGCGTCCTCCAGTTCGTAAGGATCAATGCCCTCAACTTCTTGAGTCTCAGTTCCAGGAACTACCACAGGATGAGCAACTGGACGCTCTGCAGCTGTCGCGACCGAAGGTCCGGCGACCCGCACCCAAGTTCCTGCTGAATCTAGGCGTGTGTCAGGATAACCAGCAGCACGGAGTTCTCGAGCAAGCTCAATCTGCTCCCTGGCTTCTCTAGACAAAAGATTAACAGGCAAAGGTGGGATGGACCTATTTCTTTTGGTGTGCCTCTCCCTTGGAGACGCAGTTTTGGCAACAGGTGCTGGCTCCTCCTCACTTTCAACCTCAAAACTTTCCTCCTCTTCCTCCTGATTCCCCCCCACTGTCTCGCGCGCCTTGGCAAAAGCCGGAGCTCGCGCAGCGAGCTCTTCCGGTGTTGGCGGCGGATGCTGTGGCGGTGGTGGAATATTAGAAGGGACTACAGGTGGTGGTGATGATGGGGGTGATGGGAGCTTAGCTTTGGACAAAGGGTTTACAACAGCTGGACTACTGGGAATTTTAAGGACTACTTCAATTATTTGGGTAGTATCTAAAACCTTTTGCGCAGTGGCTGATGCGTCGTGTGTTTTAGGAACAACGGCCCCTTTGGGTTTATTAGATTTTGGCAAGGGATTTACAACAGGATCAGCTTTTGGAGCTTCAGGCACGGCTGCACTTGGTGGAGCACTACCGGATGCTTTGGCTGCGGTCACTGTCGTGTCGCGTTCCTTGGGAACAGCGACCCCTTGCTGGTGTTTTGGCGGCTGCAAAGGCTTTGCAACAGGCTCAACCTTAGGAACTTTCGGAGTGGCTACACCTAATGGAGCACTACTGGAACCTTCGGATGCGATGGCTGTTGCGTCGCGTCCTCTGGGAACAGCGACCCCTTGCGGCTGCTTTGGTGGTGGTGGCGAGGGCTTTGACACAACAGGTTTATCTTTGGGGACTTTTGGGGCTGCTACAGTTGTTGGAGCACTACCAGAACCCTCAGATGAAACTACTGCTGCGTCGCGCTCTTTGGGAGCAACGACCCCTCGCGATTGCTTTGGCAACGGGCGGACGGATGATGAAGTGTGGACACTGCTAAACTCGGCTTGCTGTACAACTTGATCCGCAGCACGCAAAGTTGTTTGCCAGCCAGAGGCTGGTGCCTTCGGCTGCTGTGCCTTTGGCGATGCAGCTTTTGGCGGCTCTTTGGGCTCTGGCGGTCGTGTAGCTGCCGCGCCACCAGCCGAAGCCGGGGCAGCGGCCCGAGCTTTGGGCTTCGCAGGGGCGTTTGGGCCTACGTACCTATTATAGTAATCCCAGCTTTCTTGAGGAGGGAATTCACTACCCAAAATGTTCAAGTTAATGATACGCTTTGGGGGTAGTACGCCCTTTTCAACTGCGTTACGGCCGTGTCCAATACCACGTCTCCTGTCCAGGCCGTTTGCAAGGGCCCAATTTTCGTATTCAGGCCACAAGTTAAATGTAAGGACTAAACACTGGGTTACGGTCAGATAATCTGCTATGGCTTGATGATTAGCGACTTGCCACTTTTGGTCAGTGTCAACACCGTCTAAAAGATATCGGCCTAGCCAGAAACCACGACCTGACCTCCCACCTGTATTTTGATACAACCAATCCCTAAAAGTATCTAGGTCACTAAACCAAGCCCGGATGGCTTCCTGGTTTCGTGTGGTCTGCCCACCGCGTGAACTCCTCTGTCGAGTGCGTTGTCTTGGACCTGCAGATGGAGCGGAGGGAGAGTGACCAGTACGGATGGGCTCAACACCAGGCTCAACTAAGTTGGGACTAGTGGGTGGTGCAACAAAAACAGATGTGTCTAGTTGTGTATTGGATGTCGCGACAACGGAAGTGTCAGCGACCCCAGGTTCAGTGGATTCAGCTTTTGGATTAGAAACTTCAGGGGCTCCTAAGGGGGCTGAGTCTACACTTACACCTGGGTTACCTGTCGTGACAACGGTTGTGTCAACGACCTCAGGCTTAGCGGATGCACAGGCTGGTTCGGATGCTTCTTGGGATCCTACTGCAACTGGCTCTACACTATGGCCTGAGCTTTGGGTCTCAGGTTGGACGGATGCTGCAATGTCAGAAGCGTCAGCTTCAGGACTCTTTGGGTCAACTTCAGCTTTGACAACGGCTGCAACAATTGCGTCTTCACCTAAGTTGGTTGTTGTAGTACCTTCAGTTTGATGGGCAGCTTCAATGACGGCTTCAGTAGAGGCTGGACCAAGTGTCTGTTGATCTTCTTCCTTTTTGACAAGCTCCAGACTGTTATTGGCGCCTTCCAATCCAGAAACTTCGGAAAAAGTTATTTCACCAGAAACCTTGTCCGTCGCGGTATTGTCACCAGCGACCTCTACCGAAAAATTGTCGGCTGCTTCAATTTGCGCTTGTTCTGACAGGATCGACGGAAATGCAAAACTGTTCTGACCTTCTTCCTCCACTGGACCTGAGTCTGTAAAGGCAGCCTCTGCAAGGACTTCTTCGGGGATGTTCAATGCTGTGGCAGGGTCTGAAACGTGGCTCGCAAAATCCGTCGCGACGTTTTCGTCGGCGACCCCGTCAGGCAAGAAAAATGTTGAAGGCACAGCACCCGAGCTTGATGTCTCCTGATGTAGCTCTTCCTTCACGTCTGTCAGATGTCCTTGGGCTCGATCTGCAGAAGTGGGCGCCTCACCAAAAGACAGCACGGGCGACAGAATATCCTCAGATAGATCCGCCCAGTTTCGGGAGGCCGCGGCGCCCGGTTCAGCAGTTGGTGGATTAAACTTCTCAACACCTTCTGCTTCCCCTAGAGCGTTGGCTCCTTCCACTGGAGTTTCCGGTGTCGCGCTGTAATCAGCAGCGACCCTTTCGGAGCTATCTGAGGGCATGCACGGTCAATGACGGAAGTGCGGGAAAAATAAAGGGGCCTAAACCAGAAGTTATCGAAGGATTAGACTTCCCCAAAAAGCACCTACGGCTGATAACCAGTGAAAACAGGGGACCGAACAAGGGAACCAACCACGGTATCCTTCGATAACCCCATTAAACAAACCAAGCACCCGACCTTTTTGGGCACTTGAGCCACGGACGTCAACCAGCGGTTAGCTATGACCCGAACCCGGTGGTTGTTGGATAAGGGGCAACTAAAACCCTGGAATAAACCCTAGCATTGAACATACCTAACGCTTCTAGGTATGTTATGATACTCAATGTACAGTATGTCGCGCAAGAGCGACATGCTAAGGAAAAACTATTTGGAGTTTGGATTGGAACTCATAGCTACGCTATTTACACTACGCTATACCTACCTGCTATGCTACATGTAGTGGGGGCTCAGGGGTCGATATATTTCAACTGTATTAACATATATTAACCAGCATTAAAACATCATGATCCTCCAAGAAAAAATCTTGTTTCATCACCATTTAAGGGGGTTTCCAATCCACTGGGGCGTAATTTCAAAAAACATCCATTTTGTGATAAGATTTTCGACGATCAACGATCCATTAATACAGTTACGGCCATGGCTATTAGTTATAACTTGTTATAAATCAATGGGCAATAAACCATGAATGGGGTTATAAGTAAATATAATTTATAAGAAGTTATGAGTACTTACAACTGGTATTTCGGGCCATAGCAGTTGCTGCAAATTATTGGGGTGACTTAGTACTTATACTGGGTTGGTGATGGTTTGAACCCCTCTGAAAAATGATGGAGTTCGTCAGTTGGGATGATGAAATTCCCAACTGAATGGAAAAAAAATCCATTCATGTTCCAAACCACCAACCAGTATAACATCGTATAACTGGAATATTTTAAGGGCCTTAAAGGGGTACAGTACCCCATTTCTGAAAGAAAAACCATTGACGATCCACGCGTTGTCAGCGCCTGAAGGTCGTTTGGAGTCCTGGCGAACCGTGTTTGCGTGGAGCGCAGGGTGAGTCTCGAGGAAACTTAGAGAAAAACATGGAACATGATCCATTTTTATTCATGGGAATTCAATGACTGTAAATGAAAAGTATACCCTCCGGTAATTTGTTACATAGCGAACTGGAAAATGACCATAGAAATAGTGGATTTACCCATTAAAAATGGTGATGTTCCATAGTTATGTTAGTTTACCAGAGGGTAATGGGAATAATATAACTGCTGGTTGGTGGTTTTAATCATGGTTAATAGTGATTAATAGTGATTAATAGTGATTAATAGTGGTTAATAGTGATTAATACCTGATCTAATGAATAATATATCTGCTTGGTGGTTTATAACTCCAATAACTATGGTTTATGGTACTTATATATGGATTATATATATATATATATATTGTTGGTGGTTAAAAAACCATATTGAAAAATGATGGAGTTAAAGACAATGGGAAAGATTATCCCATATATTATGAAACGTATTATATTTATGTCTATACCCATATGCTCCATGGTGCTGGAATATGAATCCCAACATTTGCCCTAAAAATGACCCAAATGTAGGTAATTAAATATACCATACATGGAGCATATGGGATATTCATTTATATATAATGATTTAGTCTTTAAACATGCTGCGGAGGCTAGGCATAAAGATGTGAATCCAAGCATTTTCAGCTTGTGATTCACTTCAATTCAAAGAAATGCAGCAAAAGACAAAGCCAGTCGAATATCGTCGAATCCTTCAAACACTTGCTTCATGTTGCTTCAAAAGATCTCAGTCAAAGAAACACGACACCACCCCTATTAAGTCCCGTCTCCCGAAGAGCCCGCGGCTGCAGGTCTTCAAGTTCCCGGCAGGCGACGCACCAACTTTTTTGCCGGATTGGACTGGTTTTAAAACCAGCAAAAGTCGTAGACCTGAGTTTTATCCTCCAGTAAATTAACATAGACCCTGGTAGATAGGGGTTGGAAGATTAGTTTCCTCTAACAATTGTTGATTTTCAGGGTCTATGTTAATTTACCAGAGGGTATTTGACTGAGACCATTTATGACATTTTATGACCATTTGCTGGATTGGACAGAAAGTTTCGTTGTATTTGCTTTGAATTTTTGGTGAATCACCAAGAAAGCCAACAGTGCAATTCCGACGCCAACTGCGTTTACCGGAGAGTAGATGATGGTTCTCTGCTGGCCAAACGCCTACAACTTTGAGTTGGATTTGAAAATGTTCGAAACCCATCTATCTACAGTAAGTCCCATTTGGGATTTGAAATTCAAATGTGTTTTCCGCTAGCTACAATCCAAATAGGCAGAAATCCCATCAGTGTATCACATCGAGGATGAATCACATGGGAGTTAGGGGGTTCTGTTCAGTGGATGAAGTGTCCAACAATTCGACAATCGTTGCTGGTTGGTGGTTTCAACCTACCCCTCTGAAAGTCACATGAGTTCGTCAGTTGGGATGATGAAATTCCCAACTGAATGGAAAAATAATCAACATGTTCCAAACCACCAGATCTTGTTGATGTTGATTACTTGGAGGATTACTCGAACTTTTTGAAGTGGTTAGAAGTGGTTAACGACCCTAGTTTTTCGATGTTCCCTCACTATTCCTAAGTGGGGTGACATCCCATTTGCTGTGTATAAGTTGTTTTTCAGAAGTGGCCCACCTACTACAGGAACCTGGTCATCTATGGAAAAATCCTGCATGATATGGCTTCGGAAAATATTGTACCCCCAAATCTATCGGATTTTCCCAATTTTTCCCAATGAAAATTGCCGTGAAGTGGGGTATACCATGCTAATCCCTTCAGAGAAAACATGCTGAATCTTAGATACCTGCCAGATTATCTAATTCTTAGCTGGTGGATGTACATAAATAACCATTTAAATTGCAAAGGATTCAGCTGTACTAATTCGTATCTAAGCAGTCGCTTGACCCAGAAACATGCAGTTATGGCCTGGCCCAACTAACAACTACAAATCGGATGATAACTCCTATAAATAACTATTACATATATATATATAATATATATATACATATCATTATAACCCCAGTTATAACTAAGGACAAACATATATATATAATACCATCTGGTTATTTAACATAGCCATGGAAAATCCCTCATAAATGGAGGTTTATAGCTGGGAAAATCATCTATAAATGGCCATGTCCAATAGCTTTTTGTATGTTTACCAGATGGTATATCCCATTCATAATCCATTAAATCACATGTTGAAGTCCCATTAAACCACAATAAATCACCATTAAATCCCATAAAATCCAATTTATTCTTGGATTTCCATGGATTTCCCAGTCTCCTCCTCGCTCCGACTGGATCGACTGCGACTTCGGGACTGTCGGGACTGGCTCTTGATGATGCCATCCTCGAAAATTTCGAAAACGGCGGTAGCATCCGAATTGAGGTGTCTCGTCTCACGAATCGTTTTTGGAGGTTAACATGTTCTGGTGATTTAATGGTGATTTAATGGTGATTTAATGGTGATTTAATGGTGATTTCTAGGTGATTTCTAGGTGATTTGGTTTCAACCCTACCCCTCTGAAAAATATGAAAGTCAAATGGGATTATTGTTCCCAATATATGGAAAAATAAAATTCATGTTCCAAACCACCAACCTGACATGTTATAACATGTTAGTTCACCCAAGTTGCAAGTGGAGAAAAAAACGGCTTATCCCACTAACAACACTAGGATGAACCAAGCTCCTAAGTGAAACGAGCCACCAAGTATTGTTTTTTTTTTGTGAACATAAGAACCCCATGACCCCATATCCTATATGCTCCATGTAATATCATGAATGTAATGTCATGTATTTTTGCAAAACTATATTGTATTATTCTTGGGATGATCTATAATCCATGAAATGAGAATCCTAATTAATCAACGGCCCGAAACTCCAGTTTTTTTTTTCCGGCCCGAGTTATACCAGTCATAAGTCAGAAAGTCACCCCAGCGGAATGAGAACCCCATAAGAATAACAATTTATAACGTTTGGTCAACGGCACTGTAAGCCCTACTTGGATGTGCATCCCGGGTAGGATCAATGGTCACCCCATGTCACCCCTATATAACAACTGGGGACATTCCATACACAACTGGGGTATGTCAATGTGGTTATATATCAACTTTCGACTTGAACTACACTTCCAAGTACATTAATTATTTGCCGTTTTTGCACTGTACAAGCCAAGACTTTGAAACCCAATGAGGTGTTGATCACGTGGTCTGTCTGAAGATGGTGGGGTACTCAAAAATGAAAAACTCTTGAGATACCCTCTGGTAATTTAACATAACTATGGAAAGATCCACCATGCAATTCATGGGAAAACTCACTATTTCAATGGTGATTTTCCATAGTTTTTTGTTAAATTACCAGAGGGTATGTTTCAAGGAACATCTGAATGATTCACCATCCAATTTAGGGCTTAGCCGATTTTCAAACAAACCAAACCGGTACAATTTAGGGACCCTGCAGGTATTACTGTTGGTTTAACAACACCATGAACTATACAATGTGGGGCCCCCGGCCACGTTATGTTTGTTGGTTTATATATAAGCCCCAGTAACTAGTTCGTTATTTGCGTACCATAAACCATAAACCATAGTGAGTTATTGGAGTTATTAGTTCACCCCAACTTAGCGATTTCGTTTACGGTGGCCAAGTGATGTGTGTTATATCCACCACAAACCCAACAGTGAAGCATTCCTTATTTGTGTTCATCCCCCGAATGGTTTTTGTAGGTTACCCTGCCCTGCTATCCTGGTTCAATGGGTAGGCTTACTCCGCTGAAATAATTAGGGTTATAAGTTATAGTCCACTTACTTGACAGGTGTCTTTAAGTTATAGTTATAACACTTAAGATAATCCACTACTTGACTTACTTATAATTCATAGCATTACGAAGCTATTTAAATATACTATAACTATACTTGGTGGTTCATCCCACTTAGTAAGTAACTATATTATCCCCATTTAGTTGCAGTAACAAAAGTGGAATATCCCACTTAGTTTTATATCAAAAATGGGATGAACAATCAAGCAGTAAATCCCCATTTTTGTTGCTTCACTCACCATTTTCCTATGCTGTTCCATGGATGCATCCCCAAGTTAACCACCATCAATGGGGGCAAAAAAACATGTTCCACCAATTTGTTCTTATAACCATATCTGGTTGGTGGTGCCATAACCATCTTGAAAAATATTCGTCAATGGGAAGGATTATCCCATATATGTTGGGATTCTTGTTCCCCATAGATGGAAAAATAAAAAAAAGTTCCAAACCACCAACCACATATGGTGGTTTTTAAGGGCTCCACCATCATTACCGGGTGTTAGAACCAATAAATATGATGATTTTCATGGTGATTCATGGGGGCGAAGAAAAACAAGGTGGTGTCCAGTGAGATGTGTGTCAGTTTAGTTTTGACCCCATGAACAGGTGTGAACTAGTTCCGTTAATATCTACCATAAACTTATACCAAATTACACCAGTTATTAGCCAATTCAACCAACTTGGTTCCAAACTGGTGCAATGTGTAAATATGGCTATGAATCAATACCTATTAATACCATTTTTAGAGGGATGAACATCGATTTACCAGCTATTTTTATGTTCACCCGGGGTACAAGGTTTTGACCCACTGCCATATAGGAACTTTTATAAACCAAAACAACAAATGGGACTTCACCAACTGTGGAGCCAAGTGCGGTGTATCTGCATTTCTGAAATAATCCAATTTTAGGATTCAGGATGAAATACTTGAAATAGCCATAAAGATTCAACAGTTTCACAAGACTTTAGCCAAGAAAACTATGGTGAACATTGTTCAGCGAACTGGCGTCAATCTGCGGACAGGGCCTTAAGTTAACCATGGTTCACCCATGTTGACTCCATGCCAAAAGTATGACTTTTTGTACCAAAATATGATGGAACATGGTGGCTTTACCACCCACACAGTTGGGCAAGCTAGTGATGCTAGTGATGTTGGTTCAGTTTTCAGCCCAACTATTGATGTATCTACCATGAGTCTTAGATATGTTCGCTATACCAAAAAAAAGTCACCCCCAATTAGATAGATGGTGAATCTTTTTTTTGCCTGCCCGCAAAAAAAAATCTAATCTTTCGCTGGTGAACGGACGAATTTTACCATGTACTAGTTCGTATCTAACAGTCGGTTGACCCAGGGGTTATTGACCACCCATCATCCCCTATGGGGACTCACTCTATGGGCGATCCCTTAAGCTGGTGATCTTTAGCGATCCACCAGCTGGGTATGCACCTAGGAAAAGTACTCAGCTAGGAAAAAACATGTTCATATGTCATATATACATGTTGTTTCTATGGAAATGGTTTTATGTGATTTTCTTGAGATTGTTTTATGCTGGCTTCTTTGGAGATTGGCTGTATGTGACGCTTTTGGTGTGAAAAAGGTGGATTTTCTTGACCATGCCATGGCCGTCAAAGACTGAAGACAATGAGTCAATGAGGTACCACTTTTGGACAAAGCCATTTTATCCCATTTCAATCAAGTACAACCATGGTGATCTTTAACATATCTATGCAACATCACATGTTTAAGTTCGGTGGCAATCAAATAGCATCATGTTCCATACAATGTGAGGCCCCCGTTCGATAGCTAAGTTGGTGAACATAACTCCAATTTCACTATGGTTTATGGTACTTATAACGAACTAGTTACTGGGGCTTATTATAAACCAACAAACATAACTGGGGGGCCCTACATTGTAGCTACAAAGTCAAATGACCATAAAGTTGGTCATGACAGAAACCTTCAGAAACAGCACAGTTCCAGTTCTCCCTCCCCCCATCACTATAGGCTACCCTTGAGTTGCGCACCATGGCGTTCTGGAACTCGGTTTCAATGTTCTTCCTGGGACGAAACTCTGGCTGTTTGGGGCTGAGTTTTGCCATGGGCGGTCAGCCTTGTGGACACTTAATCAGCCATCATTTCTAAGATTAGTCAATAGCAAAAAGAGAGGAACCCACGATTTAGGGGTGCAGTTCCAATTATACGTGGTTTATAAAACCTTTGTTGCAGTAGCCTGATATCCCAACTAGGAGTTATTTTCCCACTTAGCGGATATAATTTAGATATTTTTAACGTAGTCATTGTAGGGATTTATATCCCAACTCAAGGGAACTAGTACTAACCCCCCTGGCTTGCACCCCGGGGTGCACAACCCCAAGCCTGTCGGTGTCCCCTAGCCGATTTCTCTGTCAAAGAGCAGACTGGAGACCAGCGGCTTCAATATCCGCATACAAAATGCACTACTGGTTGGTGGTTTTACCCATCTTGAAACATATGAAAGTCAATGGGAAGGATGACATATATTTATGCCTACGGACCGAAAACTGAGGTCGCGAAACGCTTCTTTTTCGAGTCGGATGTTCTTGATGCTACGTTGATGATGGGGTGGGGTGGGGTGGGTGTGGTGGGGTGGGGTGGGGTGGGGGGTGGGTGGGGTGGGGGGTGGGGGTGGGTGGGGCATGTTAACAATCGTGTGACTTGCTGAGGTTCTTGATGCTATGCTGATGAATGGGGTGGGTGGGGGTGTGGGTGGGGTGCGGCATGTAACGTTCGTGTGAACTTGCTGAGGTCTTCATGCTACGCTGATGATGGGTGGGGAGGGGTGGGGTGGGCTGTTAACGTTCGTTTGGGAACTTCTGAGGTTCTTCATGCCACGCTGATGAATGGGTGGGAGGGTGGGTGGGGCAGGTTAACTTTCGTGTGAACTTGCTGAGGTTCTTGATGCTACGCTGATGATGGGTGGGTGGGGTTGGGGTGGGGCATGTTAACGTTCGTGTGAACTTGCTGAAGTTCTTGATGCTACGTGATGATGGGGTGGGGTGGGGTGGGGTGGGGCATGTTAACGTTCGTGTGAACTTGCTGAGGTTCTTCATGCTACGCTGATGATGGGTGGGTGGGGGTGGGGTGGGGGCTGCATGTTAACGTTCGGTGAACTTGCTGAGGTTCTTGATGCTACGTTGATGATGGGGTGGGGTGGGGTGGGGTGGGGCATGTTAACGTTCGTGTGAACTTGCTGAGGTTCTTGATGCTACGCTGATGATGGGGTGGGGTGGGGTGGGGTGGGGTGGGGCATGTTAACGTTCGTGTGAACTTGCTGAGGTTCTTGATGCTACGCTGATGATGGGGTGGGGTGGGGTGGGGTGGGGCATGTTAACGTTCGTGTGAACTTGCTGAGGTTCTTGATGCTATGCTGATGATGGGGTGGGGTAGGATGTCACAAGAAACCGAGAAAAGCTCAAAGCGCACACAGGCACAATAGATGCCGCATGGACGTCCTGCAAAAAATTCGTGCCAAAGAGTTTGCATGCCCGGAGTGCGGACTTGATTCTTTATTGCAAGATGTGGCAATGGAGATTCATCCACACGTACAAAAACTTGGCGAAAGCCACGGTGTCCAAACTGCAAGAGATGTAAAAATGACGGTGCGGACAGTTGAGCATGCCTGAACTTGTTTGAAGCAGAAATTGCGTTTCGCCTAGGCGAAATACACATTTATCTAAAAAACCACCAAATTCAGACGTCTGAATTTCAGAGTTTTTGTGATCGCTGAATTGTGTTTTCGCCTTGGCGAAACGATGATTTTTTGAAAAAAACAGTATTTCACGACCTCACTTTCCGGTCCGCCGGGATATTTATATTACGGAAAATAATCCAAATGTTTGAAATCACCAACCAGACTAATATCCTGTATCCTGAAAAATCCCGAAGAAATGAGCAAACATCCTCAAACATCTTCATTATTCTTCATTAATATCCCAAATCGAACATACCTGAAACATCCTGATAGATCCCACAAACCGTGGTAGATCCAAATAGACGTTCGGGATCGCCCTACCGATCCCTAACTCAAAAAAAATAGTACTTGTATGATCCACCTACAATCTCCTAGAGGCTATTAGGGCTTATTAGTGCCAATAGATATTGTCTAGGCTCTTAGCCACCGTTTATGGTGACATTGTGTTGACCTCGTTCTGATGAACCCCTTAACAAGAAAAACGAATCATCTGTTATATAGACCAAACAACAAAAACTGGTTGGTGGTATACCTACCCCTCTAAAAAATATGATTTCGTCAGTTGGGAGGATTATTCCCAATATTATGGAAAAACAAAAAATGTTCCAAGCCACCAATCAGACTATATACTATATACTATAGTTTTTGTTCTTGACTATAATGTTTTATCCAAATCCCCATGATTGCCTTTGGTTTTTGTCCAAATGTCTACCCAATGTCCCTATTGTAGATGGTTTTTTTTCCCGAATCCCCAGTATATCCCATTGCAAGGGGTCGATCATCCCAGACCCGTGGCCGTAGAGTTTGTGTCGGCGAGCGTCCGAAAGCCCTTCTTTGTCACTTCGGTCATCTCCTTCGCTTTCGAACTGGGAGGCTTGGGAGGCTTGGGTGGTGTCCGAAATCTACAAGGAGCTATGGTTCAAATTCCCCAATTCCCCAAATGGTCCGAATATGTCCAAATGGTGGTTTCTGTAAGCCCAGGGGATCCCCAAGTCACCATGGCTTTCAATACTAAAATGGTCATTCATGACTTGGATGATTTGGGGCTACCCACAAATCTCCCCAAAGATACGGGTCTCCTGCACATTGTAACCTGTTAATACCTGATATATCCTGCACACTGTAGTCCACTTATGATACGTAGGAGGAGCCACGAAGTAGTGGGGCATATCCAGTCATATCCAGTTTAAAGATTTATTCAAGGTGGTGCCCCACAGCGAAGTTTGTTGGTTTGAATCAAGCAGTACCCAGCATCTACCATACACCCAGCTCAGTGACATGCAAAAAATATATCAGCCAACTTAGCAATTTAGCTCCGTGGGCGCTTAAACGTTCTTAAATCGTTTCAATAAGGAAAAAACATCATTATAGCCATGATAGTTTAGTCTATCCCCATTTTCGGACCCATGGTAAATGATCATATTTCACTACCCTGAATTGAATTAAGGGGGGGAATATGCCTCAACCATGGCTCCAGTGGGGAAGAACAGTGAGGTCGATATAATTTACCCAGACAGTATGCAAACATGATTTGAAATGACTTTTTAAGATGTAGGATTTTAATATGTGATTTGAAGACAAATGATTACCCGTAATTAAAACAATGTCGATTTTTATTTTTTCGGATTGCTTAACTGTAAACCATCCAACTATTGGGGGTACCCTCTGGTAATTTAACATAGCTATTGAAAATGGTGATTTATAGTGGATTTTCCCATTTAAAATGGTGATTTTCCATAGTTATGTTAGTTTACCAGAGGGTATAAATTGGGCTTCAGCATGGTTCAGCCATCAGCACCATTCAGAAACCCCCCAGATCCATCCTGCCGATCTCACCTCCTCCCCATCGCTTGCATAGTGTCGGACTGGCCTGGAAGTTGTCGGACGCAACTGCCGGAGGTCACCGGGAAAACATCGGGGAAAACAGCATTTGTTGCAAGGTTTTATAGTGTTAATGGATGATAATAGTGTTTAATATGGATGATAGTGTTTTACAGTGTTTAATAGTGATTACTACAATGTGAATATATATTAATGGTAATATAATAGTAATAGTAATATATTAATCTCCCTAGCAATATATCCTATTATATCCTATTAATAGTAATGTCCATGGATTTGTGATGGATCTACAATGTGAGGCCCCCGTAAACGAAATCGCTAAGTTGGGGTGAACTAATAACTCCAATTTCACGGAGGCCACTATGGTACGCAAATAACGAACTAGCTACTGGGGCGAATCTAAACCAACAAACATAACGTTTGGGGGCCCCACATTGTATGAAGTTATAACAACTAGGGTGTAAGTTAATATAAGTTATCAGGATCTTCGGTTCTTGCTGATGACATAACTCAAGTCCAGCCATATATTCCAATTGCTTTCTGATCCACCCCCGTATCCACCACAAGTCGTGAGGTTCCACGCCTTCTGGCTTTGTGATATGCCGCCACAATTTAACCTGCGGTCCTCAATCCTACAGTTATGGCCCGAAATACCAGTAGTAAGGTGTTATAAGTACTGTACTTATAACATCTTATAACCCAATTTATTGAATGTATAATCCCATTGAAATAATAAATTATAACTAATAAATGGCCATAGCTGTAATCACTGTCTGACTAATCGAAGGAAGTTTAGAAGTCAAACTTCCGACAATATGGAGAGATGAAAAGCAGAGCAGGGCAGAGGCACAGAGAAGAGGAAGATTAGAAGAGAGAAGATCAGAAGAGAAAGAGTAAGAGGACAGAAGATACAGATGCGCGAAAAGGTAGGAAAGTCGCGAAACACTGTGTTTTTCCAATGATTTGTGGCTCCGGAGGCTCGAAAAGTAGGCTCGCTAAAGCGGCGGGTGCGGAGCCAGCTGGCCACAGGAGCGATGAAAAATTGCACGCCGTTGTGGCGCGAAGCACATTTCCAAGTCAAAATGTACAAAACACCTCAGGTCCGGACCACTTTTGGAAGTTGAGATGTCGAAAAAGTGCACGCAGTTGTGGCGCGAAGCACATTTCCAAGTCAAAATGTACAAAACACACCATGGTCGGACCACTTTTGGAAGTTGAGATGTCGAAAAAGTGCACGCCGTTGTGGCGCGAAGCACATTTCGAAGTCAAAATGTACAAAACACACCATTTTCGGACCACTTTTGGACGTTGAGATGTCGAAAAAGTGCACGCCGTTGTGGCGCGAAGCACATTTCCAAGTCAAAATGTACAAAACACACCATTCTCGGACCACTTTTGGAGGTTCAGATGTTGAAAAAGTGTCTAAAAAGTGCACGCCGTTGTGGCGCGAAGCACATTTCGAAGTCAAAAGTGTAAAAAAACTGAGGGTTTTGAGCCTTTTTTGACGTTAAGATGTCGAAAAAGTAGACACTGCTTAACTTAACTAACTTGACTAACTTCACTAACTTAACTACCCTAACTTCGACGACAACAGCAACAGCAACAGCAACAGCAACAACAACAACAACAAGAACAAGAACAAGAACAAGAACAACAACAACAACAACAACACCAACCACAACAACTACAACTACAACAACAATAGATCGATAGATGGAGAGAGAGAGAGAGATAGCTAGATAGATAGATAGATAGACAGGTAGACAGCTAGACAGATAGACAGATGAAAGGGAGAGAGAGAGAGAGATAGATAGATAGATAGATGGGTAGATAGGTAGATAGATAGGTAGATAGGTAGATAGGTAGATAGGTAATTAGATAAAAGGGAGAAAGAGAGAGATAGATAGATCGATAGATAGATAGATACATAGAAGATAGGCTGGTAGGTAAGTAGATAGTCAGAGAAAGAGACAGAAAGAGAGGAGACCTCAAGCACCTTTCGGTCCATCAGTGGCTTCGCTCTGCCATCCCTCATTCACAACAACCAAGCTCTCCTATAGGTTTCCTATTTTTGAAACTTCCGCCACCGCCTTGTGCGGTACTACTGGTACTTACATGCAGTACCAGCACCTGTTTCCCACACTTGGTGCTTTCTTGGTCAGCAACAACTACTTCATGCGGGATACAAGTAAGTATACCCCCTCGGTAATCAAACATGGCAATTGAGTATTACCCATTTGGAGTTGTTTTCCTCTTCACATACACATTAAAAGGGGATTGCCAGTCAGCCATGATTACTCAACGGTGCACGTAAGTGGCGAATATGTTCTATCCCAATTGGACCCCAGAAACATGGCTTAAATGAATGGATTACCCTCTGGTAAACGTTTACATAACTATGGAAAATCAATCATCATTTTTAATGGGAAAACTCACTATTTCTATGGCCATTTTCAATAACTATGTTAGTTTACCAGAGGGTATAAATGATTAATATTCCCCAATAATGGTTGATTTGTAGGAGTCATGCCCTTTTGGGGATCCCCGTGTGTCACCATAGGTGTGAATACAAAAATTGTCATTCATGATTTGGATGATTGGGGGGTACCCCCATTTTAGGACACCCCCATATACCCTCTGGTAAACATACAGAAAACGATGGAAAGATCCACCATGCTATAAATCGGAAAATCCACTATTTCTATGGCTATTTTCAATAGCTATGTTAGTTTACCAGAGGGTAAAAGAAAACGCATTTTGATATTTTGGCTGTAGCTTGTGTTTTCCCTCCAATTGCAGCCAGAAAAACAACATCCTCTACTTCGAGTGATCCCCACACTGACACACGATTCTGACATAGTTTCTGACATATCATTATTTGTATTATATACTTGGTGGTTCATCCCGCTTAGTAAGTAGGTTATAACCCTGGTTATACAGGGACTAAGTCTTAGTCCTTTTAAGGTTAGTCCACTTGTAACCGAGTCTATTAGCCACATACTAACTGGGATGGACATATAATGACATATATCATATATTCCATGAAGTACCCACATTCTATCCCACTTGTATTTATTAACTGGGCAAATTATAATATTTCACTAACCTGAATTAAGGCCATTTGGGGATGATTTCCCTTACTAACCATGATTCCCAGTGAGGTCGCAGTGAGGTCGCAGTGAGGTCGTTATAATTTAACCAGATTTATATGTATTTATCCCATTTTATCCCCATGAAGAATCAATATTATCACCAAAAAACATACCTTCATTAATCCCTTCCCCTAAATTCAACACCGGCCGGCCTGAAACCATGCGGCATAGTGATTTACAAGTATGTGGGACCATGGCAAGGGCCAGGGCTTGTGAAAAATATTGGGGGATAGGATTAATATGGTGTATATATTATGGTTGCTAGGTGATAGCTACAGTCTATATTATGATATCGATCCATGTGACTACTACGACATACCCCACGTGCTCCATGTATGCAATATTTGCCAACATTTAATCACACAAATAACCCAAATGTATGTGCTGTGTTTTTCTATACATGGAGCATACGGGTACAACTACAATGTTGGAATCCCACTAAAACGTCCCACTAAATCCTGTAGTTATGGCCGAAATACCAGTTATAAGTACCAACAAGTAACCCCATTTATGGTTTATGTATAATCCCATTGAAATAACTACCATCATTAATCACTATTAACCACTATTAACCATTATTAACCACTATTGATCACCATTCATGACCTGAAAAATCACTATAGAAACTGCACCTGACATCCTATTAGAAACCATGAACAAACTGCGCCTGACTGTGGCTTGAGGCACTTGCAATCGAAAAGGTGAGGGACGTGGGAGAGGCCTGGAATCCAAAGATCAGGGAGATACGACACTATATTAATGGAATATATATATATATATATATTAATGGTAATATAATAGTAATAGTCATATATTAATCTCCCTAGTAAATTAATATATCCTATATTATATCCTATTAATAGTAATTTCCATGGATTTGTCATGGATCTACAATTAGTGAGGCCCCCGGCCACGAAATCGCTAAGCTGGGGTGAACTAATAACTCCAATTTCACGGAGGCCACTATGGTACGCAAATAACAAACTATAGATAACTATAGTTACTGGGGCGAATCTAAACCAACAAACATGGGGCCCCACATTGTAGAGATAATTACTAGGGTCTAGATAGTCAACATTAGTCAACTAGGGTTTCTGATTGATAAATTATAATTTGGTTAACTACAATGTGGGCCCGCCCCCCCCAGTTATGTTTGTTGGTTTAGATTCGCCCCAGTAACTAGTTCGTTATTTGCGTACTATAAACCATACTGAAATTGGAGTTATTAGTTCACCCCAACTTCGCGATTTCGTGGCCGGGGGCCTCACTAATTGTGGAGATTACACGGGAAATCTATAGATCCTCCAAGGATTTGAGTGGGATGATCATGATGATCACTATGAAAATCATTACTAACCTCGTGATGTTCATATCTATTTGTATGTCCAATAGTAATTGTCCTGTGGGTTAAACAATGTCATTTTTACCACCCATGACTGGGAATGGTATCCATACCACCTATTTATTATGATTTCGGGAATGCTCTATTATTGTTTTACCCACATGAATGGGAAATGTGACACATTTACGCAAGACAATGGGAATAATACGGGAAATTTATGGAAGATGCTGGAAGATGATGGGAAATGTATGGGAAATCTATATGGGAAATCAATTGGATGATCTTCCCGTAGAATCGTATAACATAGACCCTGCCAAATAGACGGTTGTAAGAAATCCGTTTCAACATGTACTCAAAAATTGCTTGCGCTCAGAGTCTATCCCATATGCTCCATGGTGCTGGAACATGAATCCCAACATTTGCCCGAACAATTCATCACCCAGTTATGTAGGTAAATATACCAGCACCATGGGTTGCATATGGATTATTTGTTCCAGATGTTTTAATATGAAAAACACAATTTTTAATGGGAAAATCCACTATAAATTGCAATTTTCAATAGCTATGTTTGTTTACCAGAGGGTATTGGAAAATTGGATCTTGTTTCGTGGATGTTTTTTTGTGCAATGGCTGGGATTGCGAGTTGACGTGTGCCAAAAAGCGTGAAAAACGCACCTTCGGGGGGTCTCCAGGTGTTCGCCCCCCACAAAAAAAACAACACCGTTAATGTACATTAATGTACGTTAGTTAAACTACAACCGACTCAGCCATTTAGAATCATTTAGCTCACCCGGGCATCAACGAGTGGATATGATACTTCATTCTAGACACCAATCACCGATCATTTACAGGGTCTAACTCATATTTTATCGCGGACTTAACTCCCCATCTGTTGTAGGAACATTCCCAATTTGGCTTTGTAGTTTGTTGATAATTCACAGTTTTGAAGTTTTGACCAACCCAATTTAATCCAGTCAGAATGCTAGGCACTATCCAGGAAAGCACTCTCATCTATATTCCGTTTAAACATTATAAAACATTCTGCAAGTGGGTAATCACCCATTTAAAGCCGAGTCAATTTAGTCAAATAGCAATAACCGCGACAAATTGCAATCATCAAGCCAAAACAAAACCAATCTTGGGATGATGTCCTGTATTCACAATCAGTCCTAGTGAGGTCGTTCTGAGCTTACTACAATCCATCCATACATATTCTGGTTGGTGGTATACCTACCCCTCTGAAAATTGATGGAGTTCGTCAGTTGGGATTATTATTCCCAAGGACAAAAATAAAAAATGTTCCAAACCACCAATCAGCAGGGTTATAACCTACTTGGCAGGCTATGGCCGGCGGGCTTGCCGTAGGCACTTAAATATATGGAAAGATAAAGACATGTTCCAAACCACCAACCAGTATTCGTTGGGGTTCCAGCCATCCAAATTCCGATCAATTACAGTACCCTGGGTACCGCTCATCATCCCCAATAGGCTTGTCCATTGAGAAAAAAATCACATGGTTGAAACCCCCCAAGTTGTTTTAGTTGGTGAAAATGGGTGAAAACCCAGTTTTGTTTGGCAAAATCCCGTTTTGCTTGGACAGATCAGATTATGTTTGCTGGTTAGGCCCGTCGAAACTTCGAAATCCACCATTATTGTTGCTGAAACCAAAGTTTCTGAATGAGGCCTTCTAAATGTGGCCTGAGCCATGAAAAAAAAAGTGTTTGATTGGTTATAGTAGGGGATTATACTAATTACATTAATTACTCAATATTTTGGGAAATTTTGGGAGTATCCATTTTTCTGGAATCCCGTTACGAGGATCATGGAATGACGTGGGGCTACTGACCATGCAGTTCCAGAATTTTTATCCAGGGCGCGCCAGGCGTGCTACGGTTTCCCAAAAAACGGGGGGGGGGGATCCACATGGTTTTCAATGCTCTCTGGTTGGTGGTTTTAACCCCTCTGAAAAATGATGGAGTTCGTCAGTTGGGATCATTATTCCCAACTGAATCGAAAGTCATAAAAACATGTTCCAAACCACCAACCAGTTATTTATGAGTCATTTGTTTTTTTATTCGGGATTACCCTCTGGTTATTTAACATGGCCATGGAAAATAGCCCATTTATAGATGGTTTACCTATTGAAAATGGTGATTTTCCATGGCTATGTTAAATAACCAGAGGGTATATGGCAGTGTGTCAAAACCTTGTACCCCTGGAGTTCACATCAAAATAGCTGGGATTTATGGATGTTCATCCCACTAAAAATGGTATTAATAGGTATTGATCCATACCCATATACTATACAGTATATACTACCCTCTGGTAAACGTTTACATAACTATGGAAAATCACCATGTTTAATGGGAAAATCCACTATTTCGACTGGGCCATTTTCAATAGCAAACTGTTGACATAACCAGAGGGTATACACCCCATTTTTCACAGGCTCGGCTCCCGGCTGCGAGAGCGTGGTGGTCAAGGCACTTTGGAGCTGAGCACTGAAGTCCTGTGGGAAGTTATGGCCCAACGAACGTTTAACGAACTAGTTATTTATAAATGGGCACATTTCATGATAACTAGCTATAATTCATAACTATAAATTACAATTTATAAATTGTATAACTATAATTATAATTTATAATTATAACTATAATTTTATAACTATAAATTATAGCTATAAATTAGTTATCTAAGAAACATCAGCTGACTGTACCCTTACAATCCATCTGGGACCAACTGGTCAGTGGGTCCATTTACAAATGGGCATATTGTATGATCTATCAACTAGTATAGCTAAGTTGGTTTATAACTCCCAATAACTATGGTTTATGGTACTTATAACTATAGTTACTGCGGCTTATAAACCAACAAACATAATATAGTTACCCCAACAATGACCCAGTCATGTAGATAAACGTGCTATACATGGAGTATATGGAGCATATGGGATGGATAATGCTGGACATACCCTCTGGTAATTTAACATAGCTATTGAAAATGGCCATAGAAATAGTGGTTTTCCCGATTCTCCCATTAAAAATTGTGATTTTCCATAGTATACCTTTTAGTTACCCATATGCAACTTACCTACATAACTGGCTGATATTTTGTTCGGGCAAATGTTGGGATTCATATTCCAGAACCATGGGGCATATGAGTTATAGGTATTTCATGATATATATATATATATATAAACAACATTCACCAACTAATTATAGGAGATAATTCATTCCATTTATAACTGGCAAAAGGGGCCTGTTCACTGTGGTGAAAGAACTTCAGTGCGGAATCCTGCACCAGTTGGTAGATGGTAAACATACCATTCTCATCCTATAATTTACAGTGTTTCATAGGAATCCCAATAATTAACAACTGGTGATGTACATATTACATATATATATATATATATACATGGGAATAGATGTGGATTTAACCAACATGTATGAGCTATGGATATATCCTAATGGTTAAGCTTTTGCGACATATGCTGGCAGAATTGGAAGGATTGATGGTGGTAAACAATGGAGGATTTAGGCAACAATATATTGGGAATTAAACAACCAAAATGATGATTTGACAAACTTTAATGGACTAATCATGGGAATATCATGGATACATATATATATATATATCATAATATGTAATTATGTATATATATATATATCATACGAATATGATGAGTATGCAATGGGAATATAACCATCAATATGGGATTCATAGTTTATTGGCAACCATCCCATTCATGGGAATCCATCATGGCACATATGAAGGTGAAGGGATTAGTCTACAAGAAATGTGCAGTGGATAGGGTGCCTTCACCTTCATATGTGAAGACTTATCTATATTTTTGTAGACTATATATATATTATACAAGGGATTAGTCTATACCCTCTGGTAAACTAACATAGCTATTGAAAATGGCCATTTATAGTGAGTTTTCCCATAAAAAATGGTGATTTTCCATAGCTATGTTAGTTTACCAGAGGGTATATACAAGAACATTTTCAAATATAGGGTACCCCCCAAATCCAGTTGATCATAGCTGGTTGGTGGGGGCCATACCTACCCCTCTGAAAAACCATGGAGTGAGTTCGTCAGTTGGGATGATGAAATTCCCACCTGAATGGAAATATAAAAGTCATATATTCATATATACACCATATGTTCCTATATTTTCCCAAAATATTTTTTCATATATTTTCCAATATTTTCCCATATTTTTCCCAAAATAAAATTCATGTTCCAGTCACCACCAGCCAGATAATTTCCCCTCTGACCATTGCGGGGCTTTTTAGCTGGTGCTCATTCTGGTGGTCCGTCCGGGGGACTTTGGGATTGTACGCGAGTTCTCCGAGATGCCCTCTGGTAAACTAACAGTTTGCGAACTGGAAAATGGCCCAGTCGAAATAATGGAGAATCACCATGAATCACCATAAACTATGGAACATGATAGGGATTTACCTGGTAAACTAACAGTTTGCTATTGAAAATGGCCATTGAAATAGTGAGTGTTCCCATTAAAAATGGTGGATCTTTCTATAGTTATGTAAACGTTTACCAGAAGGTATCCCCATTGATCATTACAAATAACGTGGGTAAAACAATGTCATAAAGGATCCCCCAGTCATCACCATTTTCATAGGTGGTATAAACTTACCATTCCCAGTCATGGGTGGTAAAAATGGCCTTGTTTTACCCACATTACAAAGAAATACCAGGTCTTCAGTAGTCTGACCATCCCCAATCTTTTGACACATGGTGCTCGACCCGCAACAACCGAAGCAAAAAAACAAAAAAAACGAACCAGTCGGGTTTCTATCTGAGTTTGGAAAATGGGGCACCTGCATCTACCCTCTGGTAAACTAACAGTTTGCTATTGAACGTGGCCATAGAAATAGTGGATTTATCGAGCTATAAAATGGTGGATCTTTCCATCGTTTTTTGTATGTTTACCAGAGGGTACATGCTTGGAATCATCATTTTCTCCATTCAATTGCGGTATACTATGCCGTTTCAGACACACCCATTGTTCCTATGCGTTCTATGCAAATATTTCCCCAAATCTGTGCTGGTTGGTTGTTTCAACCTACCTGAAAAAGATGTGCGTCAAGTGCAATCATAATCCCAGGTATGGCTTAATGAACATGAACGAAACCACCCACCAGGTTAAGATTGTGAATCATCCACTGACTAGCTAAAAAGTTGCCCCTATGACCCCTATGCTCCATACATGGAATTATGGAATATTTGCCGACGGTTATGTACCGCAACAATGACCCAGTTATGTAGATAAATGTGCTATACATGGAACATATGGAGCATATGGGATGTGGGATGGATAATGCTGGACAGTGCAGTTTTTGTGCATTTCAATCCGCTGGAAAATGTCATGGATTATCCAGTCGCAAAACCGCAAAACCTTCCAATCACATATTGCTGCTTATATTGTTGGTTTATATGGAGGTTTCCTAAAATGGGGGTCCCCAATAGCTGGATGGTTTATAATGGAAAATCATATTTAAAAGAATGATTAAGGGGTACCCCTATTTTAGGAAACCTCCATATGATTAACGGGAAAATAACCACAGTTATCCTATGGCCCCGCACACCTCCAGTAATTTGCGACGGAAGTCTCCCAACTGATCCTGTGGCCAGGAAAACATGGCTGACCCTCGGTACCCTGTGATAGTTGAATGGGGCATAATTATAATGGGATATAGGATATCCTATAGCAACTATATATATGTACATATACAATGATGGGATGGTTCAAATATGTTGCCATAAATCGGGGTATATACTATTTGGTGGTTCATCCTACTCAGTAAGTGGGTTATAACCCAGGCTACAGGTGGGCTAACCCTACTTATCCCATTTATAACCAAGCTTAAAGCCTACTTACTAAACGGGATGAACCACCAAGTAGGATGGCAAAATATGGCGACTATATACTTGGACATCAATATATATATATATGTATGTATGTATGTATGTATGTCTGTATGTGTCTGTATGTATGCATGTATGTATGTATGTATGTATGTATGTATGTATGTATGTATGTATGTATGTATGTGTCTGTATGTGTCTGTATGTGTCTGTATGTATGTATGTGTCTGTATGTGTCTGTATGTCTGTATGTGTCTGTATGTGTCTGTATGTGTCTGTATGTCTGTATGTCTGTATGTCTGTATGTCTGTATGTCTGTATGTATGTATGTATGTATGTACGTATGTATGTATGTATGTATGTATGTATGTATGTATGTATGTATGTATGTCTGTATGTGTCTGTATGTGTCTGTATGTATGTATGTATGTATGTATGTATGTATGTATGTATGTATGTATGTATGTATGTATGTATGTGTCTGTATGTGTCTGTATGTGTCTGTATGTGTCTGTATGTATGTATGTATGTATGGCATGTATGTATGTATGCATGTATACAAGTACAATAATGGGATGTTTCATGGATATGATGGAAACATATGTATATATATATATACATATATGTGTAACCTGAAACACCCTCCAAAAAAATGCCGTTTGGGGATGTGCATATTTGGGTACTCAGAATACCAGGGCACTCAGAATACCACAATTACTGGTGACCATATTGACCAAAAAGACCATATTGATGTAGTCAATTGTTACCAGAATGTGGTCAATTGTTACTATATTTGGTTTGGAAAGTAATTGTTACCATATTGAGCAACAATTACCTTCAAACTGGTAAAACACCCTAATACTGTACCTTCCGGTGATCAGACATAGCAATGGGACATTGCTTATGCAACAGAAGTGTCAATAAACAAATCATCTTCAAATGAGAAATTGTCCATTGTGATGTTTGATTTCAGTGACAGGAGGGTATACCACATCTGCATGTGAGAACGATGTCAGCGGACTGCCCCGGCTGATTCTATTTGAACAAACGACTTGGAAATCGAACGGGACTGGAGCCTCCACCCCACCGGAAGGAAAATCTAGGGTTCCCGCACCAATGGAGCCCACCGTAACAATGGGGGTTTCACAGTCCCATGGCTCCAAGGATCGTGTTGAAAAACTCCCACCTTTAGCCCCATGGCCACATGCTTCGCAATCCAAGGATGTGAAGATGTGAAGACATGATTCAGAGATGATGAGATTTCCTAGAAAAGGTGGACGAAACATGCTTCATCAAGGAATAAATCGTTTCAAACAATGCTTGTTGCCAACCATATATGGGGATACATCTTACCACTGCATCCATTGCTACTCACAAAAGGGGAATCCATTCATGGTTAGTCCAGTGCAGGCCTCATGCTGACTGGTGTTTTCATCCTAAAAGTCAGGACAATCATCCCCAAGGCGGAAAACAACACCTACCCCTCTGAAAAATATGAGTTCGTCAGTTGGGAAGGATTGTCCCATATGGCAGTGTGTCAAAACCTTGTACCCCTGGTGAACATCAAAATAGCTGGGATTTATGGATGTTCATCCCATTAAAAATGGTATTAATAGGTATTGATCCATACCAATATATGAAATGGAACATAACATTCCTGTTCCAAACCACCAACCAGAGCAGGTGATAAGTTGGGGTAATGGGTTGGTCAAACCGGGTATGCATCCACTTGTCGGACCTAAACAACTTTGATTAATAGTAGTTTAGGTCCCATCCTAATCCACTTGATCTATTAGATCATTAGATGCATATTATAGGTATATATTATTATTAATTATGCCATCCTAAACTACTTAATGCATTCTTCATGGCCTAATTAGACCCATAAATCCCATGAAATCCATCTAAAACCCATGAAAAATCCCACTACCCTCTGGTAAACTAACAGTTTGCTATGGAAAGGTCCACTATTTTTAATGGGTAAATCCACTATAAATGGCCATGTTAATATATAACTATCTTAGTTTACCAGAGGGTACAAGCCATGAAATCCCATGAGATCTCATGAAACCCATTGACATTCAACTGAAAACCCATGGGACTTCATCGTAAGCGCCCACCTGGATCTCCTGTTTCAGCTCATGGCCTTGGGTCACGAAAACACATAGGTTTTAACCCCGTTCGATAGCTAAGCTAGTTTAGAAATCCAATGACTATGATCTATTTATAATGGGTTTATAATATTTTATAATTCCCAGAATTCCCAGAACTATGATTTGCGTATGGTTTTTGATACGTACCAGTAGTACCGCACAAGGCGGTGGCGGAAGTTTCAAAAATAGGAAACCTATAGGAGAGATTGGTTGTTGTGAATGAGGGATGGCAGAGCGAAGCCACTGATGGACCGAAAGGTGCTTGAGGTCTCCTCTCTTTTTCTCTCTTTCTCTGACTATCTACTTACCTACCAGCCTATCTTCTATGTATCTATCTATCTGTTGATCTAGCTATCTATCTCTCTCTTTCTCTCTTTCATCTCATTACCTATCTACCTATCTACCTATCGACCTATCTACCTATCTATCTATCTATCTTTCTATCTATCTATGATCTATCTATCTATCTATCTATCTATCCATCCATCCATCCATCCATCTATCTATCTATCCCTCTCTCTCTTTCATCTGTCTATCTGTCTAGCTGTCTATCTATCTATCTATCTATCTCTCTCTCTCTCTTTCATCGGTCTATCTGTCTAGCTGTCTACCTGTCTATCTATCTCTCTTTCATCGGTCTATCTGTCTAGCTGTCTACCTGTCTATCTATCTATCTATCTATGTATCTGTCTGTCTGTCTGTCTGTCTGTCTGCAATGTAGTGTAATTGAGTGTCATTGAGTGCAGTGTAGTGTAGTGGAGTGTAGTTGTCTCGCCATCTATGTCTCTAGCTGTCCCTCTAACTATTTATCTATCTGTCCGTCTATCGATCTATCTATTTATCTATCGATCTGTCTGTCCGTCTATCTTTGTATCTATCTATGTGTCTATCTATCTATCGACCTATCTATGTGTCTATCTATCTGTCTATCTATCTATCGATCTATCTATCTATCTATCGACCTATCTATCTATCTCTCTCTCTCTATCTATCTCTCCGTCTATCTATCTATCTCTCTATGTATCGATCTATGCACCTATCGACGTATCTATCTATCTATCTATCTAATCTAATCTAATCTAATCTAATCTAATCTATCTATCTATCTATCTATCTATCTCTCTCTCCATCTATCGATCTATTGTTGTTGTAGTTGTAGTTGTTGTGGTTGGTGTTGTTGTTGTTGTTGTTGTTGTTGTTGCTGTTGCTGTTGCTGTTGCTGTTGTCGTCGAGGTTAGGGTAGTTAAGTTAGTGAAGTTAGTTAAGTTAGTCAAATTAGTTAAGTTAATCATCAGTGTCTACTTTTTCGACATCAGCACGTCAAAAAAGGCTCAAAACACTCAGTTTTTTACACTTTTGACTTCGAAATGTGCTTCGCGCCACAACGGCGTGCAATTTTTCATCGCTCCTGTGGCCAGCTGGCTCCGCACCCGCCGCTTTAGCGAGCCTACTTTTCGACCCTCCGGAGCCACAAATCATTGGAACTAGACGACGGATGGCCCGAGAGCGTAGAGGAGCAGGGTCTTCTCTTGTTAGTATGGAGACGCAATATTAGAAACGATATATGAAAGCTGTGTTATAGGCAGTCGAGAAGAGGAGTATCAAGACAAAATAGTGAGAAGTGCAAGACAATAGTTTGCATCGCAAACACTTTTACACACAGACGCTTTTACACACAGACGCTTTTACACACAAAGCTTTTACCCACAGAAGCTTTTACCCACAGAAGCTTTTACACACAGAAGCTTTTACATACAGAAGCTTTTACACACAGAAGCTTTTACATACAGAAGCTTTTACACACAGAAGCTTTTACATACAGAAGCTTTTACACACAGACGCTTCTACACAGACACTTTTACACACAGAAGCCTTTACACACAGACACTTTTACACACAGACCCTTTTACACACAGGAGCTGCTTTTACACACAAACGCTTCTACACACAGAAGCTTTTACACACAATCACGTTTAAACAGATGCAATTTTACATACAATCACTTTTACACACAAACTTCTTTACACAGAAACACTCGTACACACAAACCCGTTTACACACAAAGACTTTTACACACAGAAGGTTTTACACACAACACTTTTAGACAGATGCACTTGTACACACAAACATTTTTACACACAAACATCTTTACACAGAAACGCTCGTACACACAAACCTCTTTGCGTGCGAAAGAGTTACTCCAGCACACGAAAAATCGCAATTTTACCTCAGTTTTTGCCGATCGACCCTCATTTCGTGCGAAAGCGTTGCTCCGGCACAAGTCAAATCGCAATTTTACCTCAGTTTTTGCCGATCGACCCCTCATTTCGTGCGAAAGGGTTGCTCCGGCACACGAAAAATCGCAATTTTACCTCAGTTTTTGCCGATCGACCCGCATTTCGTGCGAAAGGGTTGCTCCGGCACACGAAAAATCGCAATTTTACCTCAGTTTTTGCCGATCGACCCTCAAATCGCAATTTTACTTCAGTTTTTGCCGATCGGCCTTCATTTCGTGCGAAAGGGTTGCTCCAGGACAAGTCAAATCGCAATTTTACCTCAGTTTTTGCCGATCGACCTTCATTTCGTGCGAAAGGGTTGCTCCAGGACAAGTCAAATCGCAATTTTACTTCAGTTTTTGCCGATCGACCCTCATTTCGTGCGAAAGGGTTGCTCCAGGACAAGTCAAATCGCAATTCTACCTCAGTTTTTGCCGATCGACCCTCATTTCGTGCGAAAGGGTTGCTCCAGGACAAGTCAAATCGCAATTTTACCTCAGTTTTTGCCGATCGACCCTCATTTCGTGCGAAAGGGTTGACGTTTCGTGACTCGCCGCCGGCACCACCCTCGGCCTTAAGAGAGAAAGATAAAAAGAAGGCATGAGAGAGAAGGTGAGCAGGTGTGAAGATGAGCAGATGTGAAGATGAGCAGATGTGAAGATGAGAAGATGGGAAGGTGTGAAGATGAGCAGATGTGAAGATGAACAGATGTGAAGATGAGCAGGTGTGAAGATAAGAAGATGTGAAGATGAACAGATGTGAAAATGAGCAGATGTGAAGATGAGCAGATGTGAAGATGAGCAGATGTGAAGATGAGCAGATGTGAAGATGAGAAGATGTGAAGATGGGAAGGTGTGAAGATGAGCAGATGTGAAGATGAGCAGATGTGAAGATGAGCAGATGTGAAGATGAGCAGATGTGAAGATGAGAAGATGTGAAGATCGGAAGGTTTGAAGATGAGCAGATGTGAAGATGGGAAGGTGTGAAGATGAGCAGATGTGAAGATGAGCAGATGTGAAGATGAGCAGATGTGAAGATGAGCAGATGTGAAGATGAGAAGATGTGAAGATGGGAAGGTGTGAGGATGAGCAGATGTGAAGATGGGAAGGTGTGAAGATGAGCAGATGTGAAGATGGGAAGGTGTGAAGATGAGCAGATGTGAAGATGAGAGGATGTGAAGATGAGAGGATGAGAAGATGAGCAGATGTGAAGATGAGAGGATGTGAAGATGGGAAGGTGTGAAGATGAGCAGATGTGAAGATGAGCAGATGTGAAGATGAGAAGATGTGAAGATGGGAAGGTGTGAAGATGAGCAGATGTGAAGATGGGAAGGTGTGAAGATGAGCAGATGTGAAGATGAGAGGATGTGAAGATGAGAGGATGTGAAGATGAGCAGATGTGAAGATGAGATGTGAAGATGAGAAGATGTTTTACAGACCCCCACTATTGGAAGAACCCTGCGCTCAGACGCTCTCGGGAAAAACACAGTGTTTCGCGACTTTCCTACCTTTTCGCGCATCTGTATCTTCTGTCTTCTTACTCTTTCTCTTCTGATCTTCTCTCTTCTAATCTTCCTCTTCTCTCTGCCTCTGCCCTGCTCTGCTTTTCATCTCTCCATATTGTCGGAAGTTTGACTTCTAAACTTCCTTCGATAAGTATAGTTCATGGGGGTTATGAACCAACCTTTTGCAGGGGGACCCAGCAACAGATTCAACGATCTAATTTGTTTTCTTCGGAGAGCCGCTGCTGGGCCAACCAACACAGAAACATGTTCACATCCCTACAAGGTGGTGCCCCCCAGTTATGTTTGTTGATTATAATCCCATTAACTATAGACATATCTCCAACAAAAACCATAGTTATTGGAGTTATGTTCACCAACTTAGCTATCAAACGGGGGCACCACCTTGTATATCTTGAATAGTATTGAAACGGTTGCCATCAATTTGAAGAAATCATACTACGAAACAACGTATAGGCATATAACATGAAAAATAACGGATGAGAAAAACCATCTTTTTGCAGTAACAACCTTTTTGCAGTAACAATCAGTAACCTGACATGACTTGTTGCTAATTTTGATCATGTCTTTCCGAGATCCGTAAAAAACTTCTTTGGCTACTTGGTGCATCCCACAAACCGCATGTAGGTTATAACCTTATAACCTTAGTTGCACTGACAGGAGGGTAGTCGTTGAGTCAATGGAGTATGAAGGAGCCCTTGCACCACAAACAAATCACAATCAAACACTGGCAGAACACATTTTGCAGATTTGCGATCAATCTCAGCTTTTGTTGATGCCAACCTCAGTATCAACCAGCGAGCGGACAATTTCCGAATGACCGTGCTCAGCTGCGATGAACACCGGTGTGGCTCCAGAGTCTGTTGTGGCTTTGTTGATGTCAGCCGCAGCATCAATCAGCAAGCGCACAATTTCCACATGCCCCTTCTCAGCTGCATGGAACAAGGGTGCGACATTGCCTTTGTTTGTGTCAACCCCAGCCTCAGTCAGCAAGCGCACAACTTCGACGCGACCCGTATATGCTGCGACCTCCACTGGCGTTGCACCAACTTCAGCCGTGGCCTTGTTGATGTCAACTCCAGCCTTAATCAGCAAGCGAGCCACTCCGACATGGCCTTTCCCAGCTGCATTGTACAATGGTGTTGCTCCGCTATCGCTTGCGAGGTTTCCATCAGCACTTGCTTCAATTAGAAAC